TTATGCCATGAAATATTTTTTAAGTAAATTATTTTTGATGCCTGTCAAAGATGAGGGGGATCCGGATTATCGGCAAGCGGAAGAGGTGAGTAAAGTTCCTGAAAAGGAGCAAAAACCTCTTCCTACTGAGAAATTAACCACGCAAACTAAGACCACTAATATGCAACAGGTAGAAAAGTTGATCGACTTATTCAAGCAAAAAATTAAAGGTGATAAAGAAAAGCAAAAAGAAAGGCAAACTAAGTTTTTAGAGGATTTGGATAAATTATTAAATAAGCGGGGCATAGAAGGAACCACTGAACCTGGTAATTTTAGAGTGAGATTGGCTGAGTTGAATGAGGAGGAGTATCAATATTTGTATAATTGATTGTTGAAGAATGAGTTTTAAGAAGGCGATTAGTGTCAGAAGTAAATATAGAAAACCCAAAAAGAAACAACTAAGGTCAATAAGCAACAAAAATAGTCAACATGAATAAAAAAATCTGATTTGGTTTAATATTTTTTCTCTTTTTCCTTTTCGTGGCTCTCTGAAAATGATGAGCTTGGGTAATTTGAAAAATACTCAATTGAAGAAAAGAAAGGCAAGTTTTTGACCTAATAAGCAAGAATCGGTTTATTGAAATTACCGGTGCTAGTGGAAAAGGCAAATCCTGGCTATTAAGCCATTGCTTCAAAAACCTGCAAGGAGTGAAATTTACCAATATGCCCACGCCCCAAGGTTTATATACTTTAAACCACGATACTTTGGAAATTCATATTAGTGGTAAATGAGGAGCACCGCATAAATTTTATTATTTTTTGGACGATATTGAAAAATTCCAAAAATGAAGTAAAAAGCAATTTGGTCATCACGGTTATAAATCTTTACAAGAATATATTGGTCACGCGGGCAAATTAGGCGGTGCTTTTATCTGAACTAGTAACGGTGTCGATTCGCCTTATATTTTTAAAACCCAAAAAAACGCCACTTGGCGGGTAGTGGGTCACATTAATTTTTCCGATTATTCTTTATTATTAGTCATAATTAATAACTGACGGCCGATTTTGCTTCCTATTAGTAATAAAGAAATTGAAAGTTTTTACGATCCGCATTGAAATATCCCTAAGGATTACCAAAGAAATTGGCTGCTTTATATTAGCCAAAGGATGAAAGGTGAAGAATTAAAGGATATTATTAAAATGGTAGAAAAAAACAAAAGCCACAAAGATTGATCCAAAGACATTGAGTATAAATGAAAAGAGATTGAAAAATATAACAAATTGCGGACTATCGAAGAGACCGCTCAAAGAAAGAAAAAACAGAAGTTTAGCGAAGAGCAGAAGAAAATCAAACGCTATAAATTAAAAACTACTCCCTTAACTTTTTCCGATTTAAAAGAATTAGACAAAGAAGATAAATGAGAAGCTAAAAATAAATTAGCTGCTAAGTCAGAAGCAGGAAAAGCAGAAATAGTGGAAGGGGAAAAAGTAATTAATGAGTTAGAGGAAAAAAAAACTTCTAACCAAGAACTAGCGGACGAAAAAAAAGAAATCAAAATTACTAAAAAAAAACATGGTAAAAAAAATAAAAAAAGTTAGCAGCCAATTAGCAGATAAAAAAACTAATTTTTGAACTACTATTTGAGCCAAAGTACTTATTGCCCTAGTTTTAGCCCTCATTTTTTTCTGATTGTCCTACTCTCAAATAAATTGACTAGTAAAAATAAAAAATGCTTTGGGTTGGTTAATTGGTACTTTTTGGTGGGCTATTGCTGGAACACTAGCCGGGGCTATGGTTTACAATCTTTTTAAAAATAAAGGTCGGGTAGTGATCGATAACACTCCTGAATTCTTAAATTTTTGTAAAAATAGTAATGGTCTAGTTTTTTGGGGTCCTTATGGTTCAGGTAAAACAGCTTTAATGGCTTTATTGGCTCATGAGTTACCGGAAGAAAATAAATACGCTTCTTTTCCTTGTAATTTACCTTGGATGGAACGAGCCCAAGTGGATTTTGCTCACCAACCCACGGCCTCTTTAGGGGTTAAAGAAGTAGTTTTTTTAGATGAGATTAATTTACTATTCCGTGGTAATGAATTCCAAAAAGCTCAGCAAATGCAGCGGTTTTTGTCCCATTTTTTTGCTTTAAGTCGGCATCAAGGAACTAAGATTTTTATTAACGGGCAAAGGTTAGGGCAGGTGTGGATAGAATTGCGAGAGGTGGCTACTGCGGTTTGTAATGTCTCCCTTTTGCAAAAAATTGAGGAGGGAATTTATGTCCAAGTGGAAATTTGGCAAGCGAGTGCTTGAACCAATGAGAAGACTGATCGCGGTTTTATTATTTTTATTCCTAAAAAGTATTTGGATACTTATAATTCTTACTGATTGAAAGGCTTAAAATATTTACGGGATAAACAAGGTTATATTTAGTATAACCTTGAAAGAAGTATAAAATATAATATATGAGTATCGAACCCGAGTTGATTATTCATCGTAAAGAAAATTTTCTCATGAGTTCCGGTAAAGTAATAGTTGTAGAAATAAAATTACAAAAATTAGTTGGTATCAACAAACCTGAATATCCGGAAGATTATAAGATTAATTGAATCGCTTTCAATAAGTTAGTCCCACAGGAATTAGTGAGAATTGACAATCATCACAATAAGGCTCTCCATTATCATCGTAACGGACGGGAGGAGTTTATTAAATGAGAGAGTCTGGAAAAGACCTGAAAATTATTTAATCAGAAAGTAGTTGAAAGGTTCGGTAATTTTGAAAAAATATTATAATACAACATATAGAATAAGAATATCTTATGCAAAGCATCAAAAATAAAACATTCATTTTTAAATACGATCCAAAAAGTAGTATGGAGGGACTATTTGAAGACTTACAACAAGCCTGAGAAGGAAAGTTAAAACGAGTTGAACCTAACATTATCCGCTCTAATAGCATTAAGGCACTGTTGCATGGTCTTTCTGAAGAGAAATTAGAATTATTTTCAACTTTAGTAGAGAAAAAGCCCAACAGTTTAGAAAAGTTGGCTGATTATCTACATCGTGATTACCAGAACGTAAAAAAGGATGCGGAAATTTTAGCATCTTGGGGCATTATCGAATTGCAAGAAGAAAAACCAATTGCCCTTTACGAGAAAATTACTTTGGAATTCCCTACTTACCAAGAGCCAGTAGTAGTAAATGAAAAAAGAAGAGAAATTCATGCTTAAATATCTACTCGCTCCACCCTCCTCACAAAATTATCTTCTAATTAGCAGCTAACAAATAACAACCCAACTAGCAGCTAATTATCTACTAATTTCTCCTTACACTCCTCACCACAAAAATAAACCCCCTCATAACAACCAAATAATACTTGGCCGTTGCCGTTAGCAAAAGGTATTTTCTGCCACAACATATTTTCTATATTCCCAGCTTCGCCACAAGTCCTACATTTAGCCCACATTTTATCAGGATCAAATTTTCTTTTACGGGTTTTGGTCCCATTCTCATTATTAAGAGCAGTAATTAGGTCAGTCATATATAAATTATAATCTTTTTACTTTCTTAAAAATGATAGCAGCTAATTATCCGCTATCTACTAACAAACAAAGACCCACTAAAACCTTTTATAATTATTGAGCATAGCGAAAATAATCCCTATTCTTATAAATATTAATCATTAAAGGCGACGGAGAGAAAAATATTCAAAATAATAACGCCGCCTCTAATAATTTTAGCAGAACCGCAGAGAAATTAAAGGATTAAGTAAGAAAACTGTGGTCTGCTAAATTGGCGACCGTGTTGAATCGACGCAAGACACGACCGCATATAAAAGTTTTAGCAAAAACAAAAAACAACAACCAACTTATTAGCAGCTAACAAGCAGCACACCACC